ATATATGATGGGTAGTGAAAGTAAAGAGCTATGGGTCCATCTGCTGATGACCATAAGCATATGGAAGATTATGACTTGGAATGTAAGAACAGTAAATGATAAAGAGGATAAATTAATGAATGAAATTAAAGAAAGAAATATAGATATATTGTGTGTATGTCAAACTTAGAGAATAGGGAAGAGGTAACATCTGAATGAAAGTAGTCTGATCTTGTGAAATGAAGTTGATATATAAATATATAAAGGAAGGTGTAGATTTTATTATGAATGAAAGAGCTAAAATGTACATCCAAAAGTATGAATTGCTGTCATCTAGGTTGTTGTGGCTGCATATAGAGGTAGGAATCCATAAGCAGATGATAGCTGTATGTTACATGCCATAATGGAAGAACCATGGGGGGTGGAATGTGCAACAATGTGAATGGATGTGATCCAGAGGGACATTAGGTGACATTAATAGGTGTACAGGAATGAGATGAGAGAGTACAGAAAAGTGACTGGGTCTCCAACTGTTTCTGCCCAACCAGTACGTTCCAGCAGACTGGGTACGCTCCAGGACTCCTCCATTAAAGGTTGCCATCTTGTGGGACAGAGAAAGCGTGCCTTCTCTATTGTGGTCCCCACCCTCTGGAACCACATCCTCCCAGATATAAGGACGGTGCCCTCCCTCCTGGGGTTCCAGAGAGCTTTGAAAACCTGATTTGGTCCCAGCCCTGTGATTGACATTTGTTATTAGTTTAATGGCCCCTGTTTTGTTTTGTGGATTTTGTTATTAGAGCATTTTAGTCCAGGCTGCTTGTTGATTTAATATCTTTAACTGTTTTTACATCTTTTTCACTTTCATGCACCACCCAGAGTCCACTGGAGTTAGGCGGCCAATAAACTTAAATAAATAAATAAATAAATGTGAAGGCCCAGGAATGAATGGAAAAGTGACTGTTTGGTGAGCTTCCACTTTGGAAAAAAGCAAGCAGGTTTTTGCTTTTCAGCAGGTTACCAAGAATGTATAAATGAGAGAAAGAAAGCTTATTGTTTCATTGTTGATTTAGAGGGACTTACATTTGTAAAGCAGGAAATTAGATTTTGTTCAATTCCCTAGATTCATTTAATGATAAAAATATTCCTCAATGAGCTTATATTTAACAAATAAGTGCATGATTGGTTTGTCCGTAAGTTTCCTTTAAAGTCTACTCTTCTTAGATTCACAGAGTGGTTTTCCAACCCACTCCAAAATCGGGCATCCTAAGGAAAATTCAAAGTTGCCTATACTTTGAGCAGACCTCCTAGTTTACTGTTTGCCTCTAGTGAGCCTGGCATATATGTATTTCTAACCATCATGAACACATTGTCCAAATGTGATTGGAATGGTATCCATGAAGAGAAACTGAGAAATCAGAGTCAGATTGTATTTTTCTTAAAGGTTCTTAAGGCTTTAATAATTAAAAATAGGTCATGCAAAGAAAATAGTTGTGTTAAATTCCCCCTCCTTTCAGGATACTCCATACAATCTTTTAATACCTGCCATTATCTCTCTCTGGTTTTAGTTGGTACTGCTTTGCTATATAATGGCTCACACTTGGAGAATTGAGTTTCTATATACAGAGAAGATACTTTGTTTCCCAAATTCTGTTTTTGGAGAGACAAGCAAAGAGAAAGCATGGGGGGGGGGTGAAGGGGGGGTCTGATATCCTGCACGTGAATATAGAGAATAAGGATTTATATTAGAATTCTCAGCACCCCCACAAAAGGACATTTCCTAGAATGCCTAAAAGGGAAATGATCTACAGTGGTATAAAATGCACATGAATTTGTAATATAGATAGCTAGAATTCTATATTATCAGTTATAAGATGATAAATGTGTCAGCTGCACACAGTTAAGTTCTAAAGGCCTTTTTACTAGGATTAAAAAGGTGATAGAAACATCTTTTTAATCCTAATAAAATTATGTCAGGAAATTAATTGTATGAACACATAAACTCTTATTATAAGTGCTTCACCATCATTGTTAAACGAATGTAATCCGAGATCAAACTTGTACATGAACTTGGCATCAAACTTTAAACCCAGAATAAACAATCAAAAGTATTCCCCTCACAGATGATCACATTACCTGCAAAACTATCTACAAAGTATAGTAAGGGGATTAAATTGGATCTATCACCCATCTGAAGATTTGAGAAAAATAGAATGGACAGTATTTTTATGGAATTCAGAATGAACAATTTACTTTATGAATGAAGGATTCTCAGTCTTAGCTATAAAGAGTTATATCCATCCACTTTCCTTAACAATGAAATGACCTATTAAAATGGTGGGATAATTGTCCCAAGTTTGGCCTTGTAACAGTGATTACAACAGCCTTATAATGCTTTTGTCCAGCACCCAAACAGAACATCTAAAATGAGCAAGCTTGCTTTAGTTGCTAGGTGACCACATGTAAGCTTCAGTGAGAGATGATATAAACTGGTTTAGAGAACGGAAAGGGTCCTAGACCTGGGGAAGGAAAGGTGAAAGAAGAGCTAATCTTGCCTCCTGTATCATCCATTTGTGGAGGGCTGGCCTTCAAAGAGCTATGCTGCTAGTTCCTGAGAAATCCCACCTGATCACTAAGTACCCTCTCTTGCACCTCCAGATGTACTGCAACTTGGAGAGCTGCCTAAGGGGAAATCTTTACATGGAAAACAGGGAAGAGAGACTCTGGTAAATGGAATCCCTTCCAAAACTAGAGCGGGATGCTTTTAATTTAAGCTCTCACCTTCTCTTCTTTGGGTGCCAAGAGTTGCAGGGAGGAGAAGTGAAGCTGAAAGGTAACTCAGAGTTATTAGCCAATGTAGAGACATTCCGGGCAACCTGGAACTAGCTTTGTCTCCAGAGGTGGTTCAAATCCAACTTTCTTCCCAGTGGAGGTCTTGAACGGGAGGTAGTCTCTGTCCAGTGGCTTTTCAGCTGCAGACTAGTCCACTCTGCCTCCTTGTCTTCTTTCAGGTAATTTTTATTGCCTCCCCTGCCTGAATCATTCTCAACAGGAAGAAAAGAGCTTGTCTTCACTCTGACTCACCTTGTGAATTAAAAAAAAAAAAAAAAGGAGGGGGAAGAGGGAGCAGCCCATATACAGTGCAAGGAGGTACCTGACTATTTTTTCTTAGTTGTTCACAGGGGCGGTGTTCTACAGAGTACAGCAGCAACTGCCCCTGGCAGCAAGCCAGGAGGGAGTAGGATGGCAGCAGAAGGACGGGAAGAAAGATTTTAGCCTGGATCTTTCCACTCCAGCCACCTATTTACAGCAGACGGGGTTCTTAGAATGGTTAGGTGAATGTCAACTTGAATCCCCAAAGAATGGGAACACACCACTTTTGTACATTTTTTTTTCCAGATGCTGGAATGAACTGGGCATGTTCTCACTCACCTTCAGTCAATTAGAATTCTTTTGAAGAATCTCAGCATGATGATTACAGTGAAGACTGTAGCAGTCTTTGTGTTTGCCAGCTTTTGAATTTACAATGCAAAGGAAGACTAGATGGGAAGATAGCTTGATTCCATCCAGAGTAAAGTACTTGGGCATAATTGGAAGCGTAGTGGGTATATACATTTGGGGGGGGAAATAAAGTGACTGAATTGAGCTAGATTCTTGGTGACTTAACAGACACATGTCTATTGTTTTCTCGGCAAGCATTTGGAATTGGTTTGCCACTGTCTCCTTCAGGCATGATTTTTCAATTTCCCAGCTTGGCCTGTAGGCTCAGGATTTCCGGATAGTCTCTAATCCAAGTGCTAACCAGGTCTAACCTTGCTTGGCTTTTCAAGATCAGCTAAGGTGAGCTAGGTGCTGCTATCCAGCTGGGCACTGTGGTGTGCACATGTTCAGACTCAGATGAACCATCACACGAGCTTGTCTTGCAAAAAGGAAATTAATAATCAGCAATGACAACTGATAGCAGTTATTTTCTTGAGGTCCCTCAAGTGTTATTCTATTTGGCTATGACATGTATTGGACATTATTGCACTGGTCACTCTTTCTCAGTGCTTCCATAATCACTGAGATGAGGGGTATGGTGCCTTATAAAACACCAACATTCTGTAAAGAAAAGAGCTTGACATATTGTTCTATGACATTTTATTTTACATTTCCTCTAGGAAATGGGATTAAACGCAGGGCTCACTCAGATTCAAACAAGGTCAGTAAAACTTTGCATCAAACCCAAGGAGGTCAAGCAGTGCAGTCACTGCAGATTTCTTCTTTTCAAGCATGGTCTGTTTTAACAGGTACCTAGTGTTGATACTATGTCATGGTTTATAAGCCCCTGGCCAGGCTCATGTGACATGTTAAACCACTCTTCCCTGCAAAATCCCAAATACTCACTGACAGACATATATAAATACATTTTGGAAATTGTGAACTCTGTCGATGAATTTAAACATTTTAGCCTTTACTGTATTTTATGCCAACTGACAGATGTTCGCTTGCTAGAATCATATCGTAATCTGAATCCCTTTTCAAAGATTAGTGCTACATTGACTCCTTTCCAATCTTTTGGTAAGGAGGCTGGTTTTACCAATGAATTTATTGCACAGAATCCATTTAACCCAGAAGTATACAAGTTGGGGTCTAAGAGCTTCAAGTGACCCCCTCCCCACTATCCCACAAATTTCTTCAAAGCCCCTTCACTGTCCTGTTTAATAAAGGAAAAATTAGTAAATAAGGTTTCTTTAGTTAAAAAAAAGCCTTCTCCTTTTAAGTTTATCTAATTTAATTTGATTGAAATTTCAATTAAGTTCTTGTTTGTTCTGTAGTCTAGCTTGGCTCTACCCATTTATTGTAGCACAGTGCCACTCAATGTTCAAGGCTACCCCTTTATCTCAAAAAAGTTGTGCGCTCTGATTTCGCCTTGCCTTTTCCACACGTAATACCTTCTTAAACCGCATGACACCTAAGTCTCAGCTCTTGCTGCACCAGTGACAAGAAATACTATACATTCCTCCCAATGTTTCTGCTTTGATGAAAAAGTATCAGGGAAATCCTACATAACTGCATCATAGCTATACCCACATCTTTATATCGAAAGCCAACTTGATGGTGACATACACACAACGGCCTCCCACCGCTCCTAGATCAGTGCTGCTGATTCCTAACTCTAATTTTATGTAATTAATGCTTAGATGTTTTCCTTAATCTCTTGAGTTGTCTGACAGCTTCCTCAGCCTTAATCTGCTGGTGGTGGTTCAGACAGGGTGATGTTTTGTGGTTGCTCAGGGCTGGGAGGATCAGGAAAGGCACTGCTAAAAGACCATGGGTAAGATCACCCTCCTTTGCTTTGGGCTGTCAGATGGTTTGTCTCTCGGCCATGCAAGCAAGACCTGGCAGCAGAAAGCTGAGGCAGCAGAGATGGAGAGCATCAAAGAGCTTCAAAGTGCCTCTACAGCAACTGAAAAGTGAAAATATTATTAATAATCCCAGGGACAAAGAAGGAAGTGTGTGAAGCTGACAAACTTCACAGTTGTGAAGATGACAAATTGTGAAGCTGACAAAAAAAAGTCTGACCAAGGAAACAGGCAAGCAAGAGGACAGTCCTGTGAATTAGAAATCAGAAACTAATTCCAGCCTGGATGACATGTGGATGGCACAATGATGAAATCATTTCATCAGACTATCACTCTCCCAGAAGAATGAAAAGAATAATCTGCCTAAGTCAAACAATGTCCTCTTCCCCCCAAACTCTTACCTGAGTGATCAGAAGAGCTAATTTGAAATACAAAACTGAGAAAAATGAACCTGAGATTCACACTGTGATTGATCTTCTGGACTCTTCTTTCTTTCCTTCCTCCCTCCTGAAGCAGATTTCCCCTCAAATCAGTTCTGGTCAGGCAGAGTCACTTCTTTCACCCACCCACCCATTCCACATTTCTCTGGGTATATCTCACACACCTTCCCTACTTTACAATCTCAAAGCCCCCTCCCCTCCACATGCAACATGTACACACACACCAAATAGCAGGATACCTATAAGTTTGATATTCCAGCGTAAAGCAGTTAGAGCAGGTATCTGATCTTGCTAGTATGATGGGCTGGAATAAGATCATAGATAAAATCCATTTATACATTTACTTGTATGAGGGCAGAATTGCTATATGTTTAAGTTCACAGATGTCCTTCTTGTAATATCCTTAAGAATGGAATTTTTATCGTAATAGCAATATGTGTTTGTGAGTGGCTAATTGTTCATGGAGTTCATGCCCTTAGAGGAAGTAGGATTTAATTATGATATGCTGCCCTACAACTGCCTTATCTCTTCCTGGTGTAAATGCAGGTGAGCTTGTTCAAATAGCAGTTAGGGCCGTGGTTCAGCTCATACTGTATATCAACACTGCTATGTTGCTTTCACTTCATGAAAGATAGCCATCTCCCTTAGTGGTTATCTTGCTTCCTTATCAGTTGTAAAGCAATTCATTCTGTATGTGGGATCTTCTATCAGTGTGTGCACCTACTCAAACTGTCTTTGATCAACTTACTGCATAAGTAATGGTGGCTCTTGCTTTTGGTTTTTCTTGGCTGCAAGAGACCAGTGGCTCACTGCTAGCTGTAACCTACTAGCTTTGGACTTATAAAACATTTAGGCTTTCTCCCAGTGGTTGGTTTTCTTGGTAGGTGATTCACAACCATGACACTAGTGTACAAAGCCAAAATAGCCATGGAGGCATAGTGCCCAACAACTTGATGGGGAGGGACCTTTTCCACAATAGACTGGCCAAGCCAATTGGAGCTGAATAGATCACTCTTTGACAAAGTCCCCACCAGGGTTGTCCTTGAGGGACCCTAAATTGTCTGCATGGGAGGTTTTCTGCTGAGAGCACAGAAAAATCTGACAACGTGCTTAAACACTGCTAATAAAAAGGACCCTTCTAACTGTTCTAATTAACATGGATTACTAAAGATTTCTTTAAAAGCAAGTGAAGTGGGGAGTTCCAGTTTGCTTTCATAATAAATTACTACTGCAAGTCTGGAATTGTGTGATGGGAATTATTCTGAAGAAATGCCGCTTATGGGAGTGTGGTCTTGTGTGGGGGGTAATAAATGTGAACAACTATCTGCTTATTTAGGTGTAGCCTAAATGTCACTCAAATCTTAGTAATATGAGGTCAGAGTTCTCCCTCCCTTTTTCTTATCAGTTACACAATTTGTCCCTTCTTTGTCAGATCCTATCAAGCAAGTTCTTCAGTTATCTTGGCAGTTGACTTGAATGTGGGGATTAACGTTTCAATTATTCTTGGAGTCAATAAGTTGATTCCCTTTTAAAATGTCATTTCTTTGTTTCTGGAAGTTAGTTTGCCATGAAACTTCAGTTGCTGGTTGCTCCAACACAATCATGTAACTTATGCACTGAGGAAAAGTCTAGTATGAAATGCAAGGACAGAGTATGTTCAATCTTTATGGAATAGTCAAGCCACTATGATCAAACAATCTGTTTTGCTATCAACAGTCACTTCTATTTATATTATACCTCCTCAATTCATATTGGCTGCCTTTCTCCCCAAGAGTGAGTGAAGGCAGATTAAAATTTCACATACCAGCTATATTCAGTCTTGGGCAAGAACCTCAGATGAATCTTGAAAAATATTTAGACCACCAAGTACCCTCAAAAATATTGGGAAGAGGAATTCCAGCAACAATTGGCCAATGAGCTAGAACACAGTCTACTTTCTGCCTAAATGGCTTTTGTGGGCAGAAGATTGGCTTCAGCATTCAGAATTCAAGTCCACATATTCAATACACATTAATAATTTCTTCAGTTTAATTTAGTTCACAGCATGTTGCAAAGAAAACATTGAACATTGCTCATTTAGGAGTATCCATTTCCTAAAGGTGTGATAAGAGACCAAAAAACAACAACAACAAGAACAAAAAAACCTGACTAGCAAGAATTTATTTTTCAGAGTCTGCAGGCTCATTGAGAAAGATAATGGCTTTAAGTACAGATGAGACATTCTGAACTCTTCCTATGTG